AAAATCTGGTTTAGGTGTTATTTATTTGATTCTCCAACCTAATTTAGGGGCTTTACACACTCCACACTCTGTGCCTGGATGTTTAATATTACACTATGGCATTAAACCTTTTTCTTTCGGAAGAGTGAGTTCCTAACCTCTGGTAGTGAGCAATATCTGCCTTTGCTGCACTGAAATCCCAAGCAGTGTTGTTAGCCCTGCCTGAGTTACTACCTTATAAAGGTTAGGAGAAGGGGAGGTGTTTTGTAGTCCAAAAGGGGAGAATTGGGCAGGTCTTAAAACACTGTCTGGGATTTCAGTGCAGTGGAGCTATTATGTTATCAGTGAAAACAAGTTAGAAGCACACTGGATTTCTGATAGGTGCAATCAGTATTTGTCTGTCCTTGAAACATTTTTAAAGTGAAAAAACATGGGAAATGTGCATGTATTGGGGAGATATACTGAAAAAAAAAATGATATATATATTTTTTTTTTTTGCACTGACATACACTCTGGCTAGTGACCTCGCTTCATATAAGAAAAACTGCAGTCACCGACCTGAATTAAGTGGCCTGTGCCCCACCATGAAGTTGTGCTATGCAAGTACTGTCAGTTGGAATAATGTTCAGAAATACTGAATGAAAAAAATAAAAATACTAGCGAGCGAACAAAGCACCAAACAAGCAGACCAGTCCTATTACTATACCTCTTCATTTTTTCTATCAATTCACAGAATAACCCAACTCCCAATCACAGCTAATTCTCTCATATCCTCAACAGCAACATTACAAGACACCCGGGACCTTTTGTTCAGAACAAGAACACAATTTCATATACAATAAACCTTCAACAGAAGAACCAAGCGCACTGCTCATCTCCCTTTGTCCTTCACAATATTCTGCAGAATAATAAAACTAAATTTGTTTCTTTCTGATAAATTTTGATATTACAAGGCAGAAGTTTAAAGGCCCTATGTACGGGTCCTACATATTTCCTTGTATCCTTGACTACAAATGTAGAAGAAAAAAAAAAGCTCTGAGACATTTTGATTCTTTGTGACTTGTTTACTGTGCTAAAGGAGTAACGCCTGTTCACTTTTCACCTGAATTCACCTGAATTATCACTTAGTAATTGTGGTGAAAATTCACCATGAAAAATACCAACTCTTGTGCAAAAAAAAAGGTAAAAAATATACTTATACACTAATCCAAGTGCAAATTCCCCTGCAAAGTAAAGGTTCACCTTCCAGCACAGACAGGCTTTACTCCTTTAGTAAATCAGCCACATTGTGATAGCCTGTCAGCAGCTCTGCTAATAATTCTATATTTTATCTACACAGTAATAAATATAATTACAATGAAAGGCACAGGCTGGCCAGCAGACACGTAAAACCATTTTTTAATATTGGATTTCCCCACTCTAAAACTTTAGGTCTCGTGCCGCATGTGTATGTCTACTTAGGAAATAAACAGAGTGGGACAGAGAAAGCCTTGTGTGATTGCAATTCATACAGATCTCAAAGTCTGACCAATGCACTCTAAAGATGAGGCAAATGCCTGTATTGTAATATGTTGTCCTGCATTGCATGGAATTCAATGGCTCAGAGTTGTCCATATACATTGTCCTGAAGAGTGAAGGTAACAGAGGGGGCCAAGATAAGGTGTGAATAGATGAAAAGAACTTTCCATGCGGACATTTCATTTTTAGACTACAAATATGGCTCGGAGCAGCCCTCAACAATCTGATCACTTTTAATGTGAAAATCTTATTGGAAAAAAAAGACAAAAAAGTGATAATCTCAGAATAAATTGATTGCTGTGTACACTGTACAATTAGCTTGAAACCATTTTGTAATTGTTAATATTCAAATAATATTAATAATTATTAATGCAAACCAAATAAATCACCCTGTTTGGCCTCATTTCTATTCTGTGGAAGGAAGGAAGTCTCCTCCAACACTAAGCTCTAGTGACAGGACAACGTTATATCCAGACATTATCCTATAGTTCTATATAGGAGTAACCCAATTTCTTGTGGAAAGGAGTATAGAGCTTTAGAATGCTGTAACCGCATGATTCTATAAACCAATTGTGACCACTATAAAGAGATCAGTGGAAATGCATGGATGTCTTGTAACCCTTTCACTGCTGGTCCTGAAGAAGTGGAGCTATCTATAAAACTCATTGACCTCAATCTGTTATCTGTGAACAGGGACACTCAGTATTATGTAAATATATATTTCTCGCTCTATTTTTTTTATATTCATGAATATCAAAATGTATATCCTATTCTTTTGGATTGTAAGCCCCAAGGATCAGGCCCTCCTATCCCTCTTGTATTGAACTGTATTGTCTCCCGTTATATTGTAAAGTGCTGAGCAAACTGTTGGCACTATATAAATCCAGAATAATAATAATGTATATAATTTATACATATATATTATATTTTTAGAATTTATATTCTTGAGAGCCGTTCTAGAAAGTCCCCATTTCTTTTTTTCTGTTTTAGTTATTTGCTGTTTTGGGGTGAAGCACTCTAGGGTCTTAGCCCGGGGTCACCCTGCTGATCCCCTCTACCTTTTTTTGAAATGAATTAAAACCAAAAAAAATCCTTCAACGATGATTAAATAGCTGGTGAAAGAATTGATACATGGATTTCATTTAATCAGAATAATAAAATGATAATGAGATAAAAAGGTACAGACCGATCCATATATGGCTAACATAAGCATGCAGACATGTGCCAGTGTACTCACCACTTGGCTGTAGAAGAGTAACAGAGCTAATCACACACATACCTATAGAAAAATAATAGCTTGGTTGCTAGGAGCAACTTTTGTACTTTTTTCTTTTCCTGTAGCTTTTAAATATGGGGATTAGTAACCATCAATGTGACAGTTACAAGATTCTCATTTTTCTGTTGTGAGGCATTGACACTATTGCATGTAATTATTATTCAACAGCATATGGAAACTAATAGAAGTCAAGACATACATTACAGCGTGTTGTAGAATAGAGGAAGGAGCATATGTTGTGAGATGTTCTGCTCCTCTGCACTGTACAGACATAACGGGAGAGATAATGTCTTGCAGCTCATCTCAGTAGGCCTGTCAGACAATAAAGGCCACTAGCTATTATTCTAAGCTATTGCTTCGAGTCATTACAATAATGTCCTTGCGGTAATGCCATCTTATTTATAGATTCATTTATGACTTTCCTTTAAATGCTGCTTCAGCATTCTAAAAAAGAATGAGAGCTTAATTATGTAAAAGAATAAAAAAAAAAAAAAAAAAGAAAGCCAGCCAATTCCTCATTGTACTCCAGTTTGTGTTTCAGAGGGATGTACCATCTACCATGCAGGAGTAATAAATCTTTGCGAGATGGCAACCTGCTTGCAAATTTAATTACCAGTAATTTTATTCCCCCCTCTACGGTTTAACCTTCCTAAAAGTCTGCCAGTACAATCATAAATTTCCAGTTCCATCCACTTGTTTCAAAGCCCAGACTAATGGTTAATGACTTATGCGTCCCCATATCGTTTAAGGGAGGGGGGCAAAATTGCTGAAACACTGCTGGGAAGAGATATAGAAAGCTGATGTAGTTTTCTTTTCCAAAAGACTTGATCGCCTCTCATAAGATGGCATGATAAAATAATGCTCTGTGATGGAAAACTGAGTCATTTCCTACATGTGATAACGCAGAAAAGACAAGGGTCAAACTATGATTTCATTTAGCTTGTAAAAAAAAAGCAGAAGGATGCAGTAAAAGATTCAAAAAGGTGTTTGAAAAATATTGATGCAATAAAACGTTAAAAGAAAGAAAAGCTAAACCACTATAGCCAATAAAATCTCTTCGATACATGAAAGAGCAAAAAAGTGGAAAGACTTATAAACATACTATATTGCAAAAATATAAAAAAATAACCATTTATGGCGAAAAATTCAGAGCGCGTAATTGTGACATGTCTTTCTTATGGTAGTGCCAGGGGTGGACTGACCATTTGGAAACCCCATGAGTTGTCAGTCCGCCCCTGGGTAGTGCCTGCTTATAGTACTGATCCAATGCCTTTGATACTTTCTGAGGCACACATGTGAAACAGGTAGTTCAGGAATTCTGACTTAACTCAGGTTTATCTGTGCATCTGTTTTAGCTTATCAGGCTAATCTGTGCCCTTGTTTTGGATTAGACTCTGTTAACATCTATGGACTGTGGGAACGCCCAGTGCAGGAAAAAACGTTTTTCTTAATTTCTTTCAATTTCTTAATAGCCCCCCAACACATGTACACTCCTCAACCATACTTTGAATGAAAATTGCGCGGTCATGCAACACTGTACCCATATGAATTTTTTAGCAATTTTTTGAGACAGATAAAACTTTATTTTAGTGGTATATATTCACCACTGGGGTTTTTATTTTTTTTTTGCTATATAAATGAAAAGTCCAAAAATGTTGAAAAAAAAGTGTTTTTCTTATAAAATTTTGCAAATAAATAATCTTTCTTCATAAATCTTGGCCAAAATTTATTCAGTTATCTTTTTAGTAATATAACCAAAAATTATAATTTTAAAAATTTTTTTTTTTTTAACAATTTTATTTTATTTTTTTATATTTTTTTTTTTTTTTTTCTTAACATACTGTCACCCTAGCATTACAGTATCACCATAGTGACACTGTGCTACTTGTGAGGAGTGATGAAGATTTTTTTTTTTTTTACACTTATTGCTTTTACACCCATAATGGCTGTAAAAGGAATCATTTCTCCTTCTCTCTGGCTCCATTCTTGCAGCCATTGAGAAATCTTGCGTGAGCTGTGATTGGTCACAGCTTGTCACATGGTACAAGGCTGTTGTGAATAGCCTTGTACTATGTGACCTCTGTGATCATTCACAGATTTCACACATAGAAAGCAATGATGTCAGAAGTGACATCTTGCTTACTACTATTCATGTAATCACTGATTGACCAATCAGTGATCACATGATTGGGACCTCACACAGAGGTCCCGTACAGCGATTGTGTACCGGATTGCGGTTCCATGAGCTCCCAGGGAGCGTGCACAGTCCAAAATGGTGGGCGCCGTTTATGAACGACAACCCGCTCCTGCACTGCTCCTGTCCAGCCGTTTATATACATGGGCTGGACGGGAAGTGGTTAAAACAAAAACAAAACAAGGTACATGCATTTTGCATTTCTTTGGTGAGGCTATGGTGCAGTAGTCAGACCATACATGTGAATGGGCTGCCTTAATGCAATACATGTCAAAATACACTTCAACACTCACTAAGAAATGATTGAAGCTAGAGAGAATCATGGAACTACAGTTTTCAGAAGAAAGTCTGCAATGACAACTTAAACACTATATGGCCAAAAGCTGATGGACTATCACACCTACATGAGCTTGTTGGACATGGATATTAATATAGCGTTGGTCCTGCCCTTGTGGCTATAACAGCCTTCACTCTTCAGGTAAGGCTTTCCACAAGTGTGCCTCTGGGAATCTGATGCCATTAAGGCAAAAGAACATTTGTGAGGTCAGGTACTGAAGTTGGACAAGGAGACCTTGGTCTTAATTGGCGTTCCAATAATCCAAATGGATGAGGTCATGGCTTTGTTCAGGCCAGTCAAGTTTCTTTAGATCCAACTCATCATACCATATCTCAGTATTTCTCAACCTTTCTTTAGTCAAGGCACCCTTTATATTCCTGCACACTTTTGAGGCACCCCATTATAAATCTAAAAAACAAAACTAATAGATTTACATATTGCAGCATGATCTGCATATATAAGACATGGGACACAGTCAGGAAATCATACACGTTTACACACTGACTACATAATTTTGGTCATATAATGTATTTCTCTCTATAAAGGTTTTCTTTAACTAACTTGTCTTTGGGCAAACGTGGGCTCCAAATATCAGATATCTAGGACTGTAGAAGCCAACTGACCATATCCTGCATGAATATTAGAAATAGAAGACTGCTGCCAACACTTATAGATTTGGCTTTCATACATTCATTTCTACTATTCCCAGCATACAGGCATTTTGAATTGCTTAAAATGTCCATATCTGTCTGAATTAAACATTACAGCAGATGGGCAAACCTGTGGCAGGTCCAGCCATGTGCAGTAGGGATGAAGACGTGTCGGATGGACCAAAGGGCCTGTATAAGGCCAGCTGTTGTCATGCTGCAATCTGCAAGAACAGGAAACATTCCATGCCGATGTATTGTGTATAGACTGCAAGTCTCCACTGAACAGACATAGCATTGATTATGGAGTTAAATTAAGGATTGATATTATTGAACCAGCTTGCCAATTGTATAGCACACATGGCACTTTGCATAATTAATCTTCAGCTTTAATTGAACATTAGATTAGCCTAACTGTTATTTTTAGTTGTTTTCATTAAAGTTCTTTTACATTGAAGATTACAGAGATTCCTCCACAGAACTATTATGTACATAATTGTGTTCTTTTCTGTGATCAAAACTAATTGAATCAGACTTCAGAAAAATCCTTTGTTTCATTATCTGACATGTACAAGTAACATGAAACCTACAATGTCACAGACAAACGTATATATTGCATTTCAGCAGATTCTAATTACATTTTATTTTAATCCCTTGGATCCCTTCTTTGTCCCCTTGTTGCTGTTTGTGTAACTTGGATTTTTACATTAAAAAAAACCCTCATGTTCAGTAATCTGCATTGAACAACATTTAGAGATACTGCTCTAGATATTGAGATTGTAGAAAGAATAGTAATGTTTTTTTGACCCTAAATCTGCACCTAGTATACATGCCCCTGTCACATTTCCTAACCCAATTTGTAACAAAAAAAAAAAAAAATAAAAGTAAAAAGTGCCTATACTGAGAAATCCATATAGGACTACACCAACATAAGAGTGCCCAGGAATCTTTATCAGACGTAGACCCACAGATAACCACAAAATGTATGAAGTTTCTGATTTTTGTGTGTTCCTAACATTACAGAGGTATCTAAAGTATAACATTAAAATAGTAAGAAGGGAACCTCTAATTTTCCTGACCTAACAAACGCCTTTATTTTGCTTTCTTTTGTCAGACATATCACACAATTCTGATGCACACTATTATAGTACATCACTATCCCAATCAAGCATGGTCTATAAAGGTAGGTTTTCAATTTAAGACTCCTGCCACCCAGTGGTCATATGAAGTGTTGCATTTATCTTCACATCGCTTGTATATATATGGACAACAAATTGTGTCATTGCTATGAATCTTACAATATATTTAAAGAAAGGGATTTTGCACTGTCAGCAAGATGTTGGCCAGAGTTGCATAATATTAAATCCACAAAATGAAAAAAAAAACATCCTACACGTTGCCACAAATCTATACATAAAAGCACAAAATACACTTTATTTGAATATACATCATGAAAAAATACCAACCCAAGCAAATGTTTGAAATGGACAGCAAAACTTCTTAACTGTTAAACTTATATAAATATCCACTATCCTAAGTAAGGTCGATGCAGTCCACATCTGAGCAAGACCTTTGCAGGTGAAAATAACACAAGAAATATGTGATGACACATCACAGAATAAAACAGCAAAAATTTACTAGACCACATATGAGGGCAGATATGGCAGTGATAGACCATGTGCAGCTCTCTAATATACAAATGGGATAACATAGCCTTTAATCTCATATTCAGTTGTATTTCCCCTGAATTCTGTTCAGGAGGGGACTCCACTCAGGGTTAGTGGATATTTATGTTCACGAGCGTGTGTGTGTGAGTATATATATATATATATATATATATATATATATATATATAATACACACATACACATATACATACGCACACACACATACATACACTATATTTCCAAAAGTATTGGGATGCCTGCCTTTACATGCACATGAAATTTAATGGCATCCCAGTCTTAGCCCATAGGGTTCAGTATTGAGTTGGCCCACCCTTTGCAGCTATAACAGTTCAACTCTTCTAGGAAGGCTGCCCACAAGGTTTAGGTGTGTGTCTATGGGAATGTTTGACCATTCTTCCAGAAGCACATTTGTGAGGTCAGGCACTGATGTTGGACGAGAAGGCCTGGCTCACTCTAATTCATCCCAAAGGTGTTCTATCATGTTAAGGTCAGACTCTGTGCAGGCCAGTCAAGTTTCTCCACCCCAAACTCGCTCATCCATGTCTTTATGGACTTTGCTTTGTGCACTGATGCACGGTCTTGTTGGAACAGGAAGAGGCCATCCCCAAACTGTTCCACAAAGTTGGGAGCATGAAATTATCCAAAATGTCTTGGTATGCTGATGCCATAAAAGTTCCCTTCACTGGAACGAAGGGGCCAAGCCCAACCCTTGGAAAACAACCCCACACCATAATCCCCCTTCCACCAAACTTTACACTTGGCACAATACAGTTAGGCAAGTACCGTTCTCCTGACAACCAGCAAACCCAGACACATCCATTGGATTGCCAGACAGTCACTCCAGAAAACAGTCTCCATGCTCTAGAGTCCAGTGGTGGCATGCTTTACGCCACTGCACCCGACGCTTTGCATTGCACTTGGTGATGTAAGGCTGGGATGCAGCTGCTTGAACATGGAAACCCATTCCATGAAGCTCTTTACACACTGTTGTTGTGCTCTGCAGACAGTTGGCGACTTCTGCGCACTGTGTGCTTCAGTATGTGCTGACCCCGCTCTGTCACTTTACGTGGCGTACCACGTGGTAGCTGAGTTGCTGTTGTTCCCAGTTGCTTCCACTTTGTTATAATACCACTAACAGTTGACCATGAAATATTTAGTAGTAAGGAAATGTCACGGATGGACTTATTGCACAGGTGGCAACCTATCACGGTACCACGCCTGAATTCACTGAGCTCCGGAGAGTGATCCATTCTTTCACAAATGTTTGTAGAAGCAGTCTGCATGCCTAGGTGCTTGATTTTATACACCTGTGGCCATGGAGATGATTGGAACACCTGAATCCAATGATTTGGAGGGGTGTCCCAATACTTTTGGCAATATAGTGTGTATATATATATATATATATATATATATATATATATACACACACACATATACACCATTCACATTAAGAGAGAGAGATCTTTTTTCTTTTTTTAATGTGAATAGTCTCCTAGTTTAGTGAAAAAGGTGAAGTTGTGTTCACCTGAATCTCCCAAGCAAAAATGTTTCATAACTAAACCTTTTTCAGTTGCATTTATAGTAGATGCAAACCCTAACTGAATGACATATAAAGCCCTTTGTATTATAATCAATCTCCATTTTTTTAAAAAAAAAATTATAGTTTTCACGTTTTTTTCCAATTCCTGTGTTGTACTTCGGTGCTACTGATCTCCTGCAGCCTATTTGCAGCTTTGTCCTGTCTACATGCATGCATTTTTTGCTGCATGGCATTTCCCAGAACAAATTTTCTGGTGATGACAACAGTGGACCATGCTGTGCTTAAAAGAGAAGTTTGGGATTTTGGAAAGAAAATTATATTCACCTAGGTGGATGAGGCAATGACCTGATGCTGCAATCTGTACCCCGCCAGCTCTGATCGCTCAGCTCTCAGCATTCTGTGAGCAGAGAGCCGGGGACTGTCAGTCTCTCGCTCTCTGCTCTTTCCCCCCACCCCCCACGCTTACTGGAGCACTGAGCTGTGGAGGGGGTAGGAGCTGCTGTCTCAGACTCTCATTGGTTCGCTGAAAGGCTGAGCCAGGTGCTGGTCCAGGGTTCTGGGTGGATCCTGATCATATAATCGGGTTCTTTTCAGAGCCTGGACTGACTCTGTAACATCAGCCAATAGCAGACTTCAGCCCGATGTAGGCTGAAAACGGATCCATAGGAGAAATACAGCCAAAATAGCTTTGAGTATACTTCTCATTTAATGTGTAATCTCTAGCAGTGGCCTTAATGACAGGAGCACAGCACAATAAAGAGATTGGCAGATAGGTACAGAACATTGACATTCATGTCAGCCCACCAGGTATTATTTTAATGAATACACAAAATTATAAATGGTAAAAATTACATTTTAATTAACATGATAACACTACAAACCCACCAATTTAAGTTTCCCAAAACTGTTCCATTCAAGGCATGCCTTGAATGGCAACTTTCACAGATAGCTTTCTACCTAACTGTCAAGCCATTAGGTGGCTGGTGGTATTGCAGATCATATGTACCATATGTGCAGTGCCATGGCAGCTACACATCAGAGGTTAACAGAGAAGTATAGCCAAGCTTTTTTGGCCATACTTCTCTTGTGGGTCACAGGAGTGCTCAGCTGTGACCCAGAATCAGCCAAGAGTGGGCTAAAGCCTGCTGGCTGAGATCACAGAGATGCTCAAAGCACTGGAAGGATCCCACACCAATAATGTCAGGATCCACCCAAATGCCTGATCGGCAGCTGACTCAGCCTCTCAGTGAGAGGCTGAGAGTCTGAGTCAGCCATTCCCACCCCAACTCCTGTTCAGCAGGACAGTCACTGCACTCTGGCCAGAGCAGACTGAGCACTGAGTGATCCGTGGTCATGTGGTTAATCGGTTCACAGGCTTAGAGCTAGCAGAGGACAACTGCAGCACACAGATGCTGCAGCAAGGAGGGGAGTATGTATGTTTATTTTTTTTGATTCTCTCACCTCTCCTCTGGGATGGCACTTATCTTGACTGAAAAGGATAGGAGCATTTAGTTTAGCTTTAACCACCTCCATACCGCCATATTGTAAAAAAAAAAAAAAAAAAAAAAAAATGTTGGGGGTGGACATGTATTTTTGGGGTGTTGTTTTATAAACAGTGCTTCCAAGAACACACTAAGGTGGCCAGTGCACCCATGATTTACTGAGATCTGAACTGTCATTGAACAGCTCAGATAGCAGTCAATATGTACAGAGTGGCTATGTACCTTGTGATTGCTGTGAACCAATCACAGCCATCACAAATGTAAACACTAGTAGTACAAACAAACATCAGCCCATACATATTGGAGGAAGCTTCCATTCGTCCACTGTGAATAAGCTAAATGTTTGTAAACAGAGCAGGAAGGGTGATCAGCATACCATAGATGAAGGTAAAGGGGTCTACTGACCACAAATTATAAGAAGTTTTTTTTTTTTTTTGGTGCTTGTGAGATCATTTTTTTTTAAAGGTACATGTAAGCAAAACCAAATGTTGTATTTTTTTCCTTTATGCAGTAAAAAAAATAAAAGAAACAAAGGTTGTTAGTAAATACCATCAAATAGAAGACTATTTGTCTCACAAATTCAGTTGGGTACAGTGTTGCATTACCAAGTATTTGGCACTCAAACACTTTTCACAGTCCATCAAAACGACAGCACTGAAAACTGAAAAGTGGTCTGGTAAAGAAGAAGTATATACAGGTTGGTAGTCAAGTCATTAATAAAGAAAAAAGGCCAAGCTGTAGGGTTATCGGAACATGGGGTGCATGTGAAGGAACTGTATACAGACCGGATTTTACATAACAGATACAGTATAAGTACTTGAGTACACTCTAAACAAATTATGCCTCACGACAGAACTGTAATAATTCATATTATTTTTCTACAACTCTTTTTACCATATACAATATGAATCTTTTTTAAATGCTTATTTATTTGATGCTGTAATGGTACATAAAGCGTGTATACATAATTTAGGTTTAGACTGTATTTATTTTTGAGATTGCAATTTGCTTTTTTCCCTGGAATGTTAAAGGCAATCATCATAAAAGGTCCATATTTTGTATCTAGAGTCAAAATCAAAGAGTAGGTCTGCACCCTGTGTAATATATGTAGTACATTAAAGTAAAGCAACATCAATCATTCCCCATCTGAATAAGATTATGTTGCTTGTTAGCATAAAAAAAAACTCTCAAACCTCAGTCTCGTCATGGAAGTCAATTCATTGACCACAAAATCAATTCTGTCTTGCTCTCTCACTCTCCAAAAGTGCACTTAAATCAATTTGTTACAAGTGCACCGCATAAAATTAGATGCAAACAAAATATGCTTTGTTCTGATGTTGTTATAACAAACCTAGAACTTTGAGCTGTTTTTTCTGCAATAAGTAAAAGTGTTTGTATAATGCATCCAACTCCACTCATCATTCCACTACTGTATTAATTCCAAATTAGCAAAACTTCCATTCCATCTGCTTGTTGGCAAAGCATTTGACAAAATAAACAAATAGTTTTAATTAGTCAATCATCTAAGGCAGCAATGCAGCAGAGATGCCCACCTTCCAATTATATACAGTACCTAAGAGGCACCTGTAGATTTGTTAGGAACTCTATGGAAAGATAGGCAAGCAGTTACCTTTTTTTTTCCCCAATTACGAAAATTTTAGGATCATTTGAAGGAGTGCCATAAATTTAGACTTGGTCATCTGTATCATTCATCTACTTGGCCCTCCAGGTGTTGAGGAACTGCAAGTCCCATGAGACCTTGCAAGACTCTGACATCACAGGCAAGACACCTAGAGGCAGAGGCACAATGAGACTTGTAGTACTTCAACAGCTGGAGGGCCATAGTTTATGAGGTTAGACTGGAGGAAGAACTACATGTCGCTTAGAATATTCAGAGATGCTAAATGGATACTAAATGCTCCACTGGAAAAGTGTAGGTGTTGCTAGAAGAAATCAATCAAAATTTCACTTTGTAGGCCTGAAAATATTAGGTTTGATATTGGATTGGCTGCTATGTGCAATACAGACATATTTCTTTCTTCCATATTTGTAATTCAGACTGAAATCTCACGTACAGTGCATCCAGAAAGTATTCACAGCGCTGAACTTTTGCCACATTTTGTTATGTTACAGCCTTATTTCAAAATGGATTAAATTAATTTGTTTCCGCAACATTCTACAAGCAATACCCCATAATGACAATGTGAAAGAAGATTGTTTTAAAATCTTTGCAATTTATTAAAAAAAAAAAAAAAAAACCCACATGTACAGTACATGTAAGTATGCACAGCCTTTGCTCAATACTTTGTTGAAGCACCTTTAGCACCAATCACAGCCTCAAGTCATTTTGAGTATGATGCTACAAGCTTGGCACACCTATTTTTGGGCAATTTCTCCTATTCTTATTTGCAGTATCTCTCAAGCTCCATCAGGTTGGATGGGGAGCGTCGGTGCACAGCCATTTTTAGAACTCTCCAGAAATGTTCAATCAAGTTGAAGTCTAGGCTCTAGCTGGGCCACTCCAGGACATTCACACAGTTGGCCCGTAGCTACTCCTTTGTTATTTGGGCTGTGTGCTTAGGGTCATTGTCCTGTTGAAAGATGAACTGTCGCCCCAGGCTAAGGTCCAGAGCACTCTGGAACAGGTTTTCATCAAGGATGTCTCTGTACATTGCTGCATTCACTTTCCTTTGATCCTGACTAGTCTCCCAGTTCCTGCCACTGAAAAACATCCCCACAGCATGATGCTGCCACCATCATGCTTCAATGTAGGGATGGTATTGGCCAGGTGGTGAGCCGTGCCTGATTTCCTCCAGACATGATGCTTGGCATTCAGGCCAAAGAGTTCCATCTTTGTTTCATCAGACCAGAGTGTAACAGCGTATACCCAGAGATGGACGCGGTTCAACCATTTTGGCTTCAACCTCCATCTTGGCAAAGGGATTAACCATCCTGAGAAATATATTTCTCCCTCATTCTTCCCCCCTCCCTCCTTAGAGAGGCCCAGTGACATTTGGCCAGTATGTGTGTGAGTTGGGACACATACACTTACATAAAAACCGGACCTATCGTCAGATTGGCCACGAGAAGGCGAACAGTTTGATAGGTCACCCGTATTGTCTTGGAAACAAAGGAAAACAGAAAAGTAGATCTCGTGAACCGTACAGTGTATAATTTCATAATTCATATCTAATCAATCCTCAGACGTGTCTGCATAATAATCTACCCGCGGGTGGAATGTCACTTGTGCAGCTGG